CTTCCATTGGTCTACAACTAAGATTAGCAAAAACAAAAAACAAAAAAACAAAACTTAAATTTCACTGAGGAATTTTTTTAGAGATAATTTTTTTAGGGTAAGATAAAAGCGGTGACAAGCTTAGAGAAATTAAAACATACATCGGTGTACATCTGCTAAAGATGATACTTTAACTATTTTAGCTGAATAAACAAATCCTTATCTGTTTTAAGTAAATACTTGTGCCAGGAAAAAATTTGCTCTAGAGGAAAAACAACATTAAAAAAAAAAGCAGAATAATAAAAATAAGTCTATTAGAATTATTTTAAGTTTTAAGGATTTTTCAGTCCCTTGCTAAGTTTTTTTTTTTGCTAACTGAGCTCGTTCAGTTTATTAAAAACAGTTAGCAAGATATTAGCAACATCTGACCTACTCATACTTAAGAGACTTGTATAATTTTGAAACAGCTATGTTATTAGGAAGTTTAACATTCTGTTACAGAGTAACAACCAGTAATTTATTAACTACGTTATTAAGTAAAAACTGTACCAAAACACACAGGCTAGTCCATCAGTAAGACTGAGAGTAATTGTGAGATTTTAGGGAAAAATACTTGTTAAATTTTTGAAAACTCATATTCTGGCCCAGGCCATAGGCTTACAGTCTCCCTAGGCCATAGGCCTTTTTTTCCTTACAGACTGCTGTATGTAGTAAAACAGAAGAAATTCTCATATTTGAATGGCACATAAAAATTTATTTACTGTACCTTGAGTCTTTCATACTATAATTGTCATCTTTCTCTCTTATGTATATATATAATTGGGATCTTAGGTAGTACTCAGTATGTAAAAAGCTAAATCAAAGCTTTAAGCTAATTTGCTGATTTGAATTATTTGAAACTATGTTGCTCAAGACTGAAATTTACATATAAAATTATTTGTCAAATATGCAAAGTATAATATGGTAGTAATACTGATGATTTAAAGATAAAATTCACTTTCACATACTCTAGTCATGAAGTTTACTGCAAACTATGCAGTATTAGGAATCGTTCCATCCACCTATTGAATACTGTGAGAAAAAAATATGATCTGAGGAATTAATCACTTGCAGTCATTTTAAAGCTCACAATTGTTACTTTAAAAGTGACTGTTTAAAGCGACACAAACTGACACATTTAAACCTCACAGGAACAACATAACAACCTAAGTGGTAAAATCAGTAGGAAACTAGGACAGAAAAATGCAGTAAGATATCTTAGCCAGTTTCTTAAAACACCTTTGTAGAAAAAAATAAAGCTGCGAATAGCTCTAACTAAAGTAACAAAGGGTAGTGGGGTAAAAAAGCAAAGGAATTAAAAAGAGTAAGTTTGAGGGAAAAAAACAAGTATCACTTGTAAAGATAACCCCAAGTCTAGAAAATCAAAGGTAAACTTAGGTAGCACAAAGAACAGGCTGGGGAGTGCATATGTACACAAATGATGTCCTGATTCTGAAACTTGCCTGCTAAGTAACAGCAGATCTGATATTGCCTATAAGAAATAGTTAAGAGCCAGAGGGAAGAGGCAGTATAATCTTCTACAGATTAATTCTGTTTTTAAAAATTTTAGGGGTCGGGGGAATACCAAGAAATGAGGTTGAATCACTTATGGGAATTTTTCTGTTTAAAAGAAAATACAGATATGCACAAAAAAATTGACCACTGAAAACTCAAAACCACAAAAACATAAAAATCTATTATGGCAGAGGAATTATACAGTTCTACCTAAGGTAGCATAAATGTAACTAACTATATTCAAATATTCAGTACTTTAATTATTTGCTCTATTTAAATACAAACACTCAGGCTTTTTGCATTCTGTCGTCCTATAAATTCCCACAGATCAGTTTCAAAGTGTAGGAGAAAAAAACTGAACATCCTTAAAATGCCTGCTCTCCATGACATAGCAAAATTAGAAATGCCTACTCATATTTTTTATTATGACAAGAACTAAAAAACTACTAAAGTTAAACTGAGACTACCTAACGTAGATGACAGAAGCAAAACAGAACTTCAGTATTTTCTAAAAAGCGGTGGTTACATAGGATAAAAGAATTCAAAATTAAATGTATTCTGAGCAGACTGCTAGTATACAAAATAACAAAGTAACATACAGATCATCCAAAGTGAGTACTGGGATGTTTCATTAGGACAGACTGTTTATTTTTTTAAATCTGTGTCTATTTTTTTTAAGTCTCTAATTTTTTTTCTTAAATTTCCTTCCATTCTGGAGCATATTCAACTGCTGTTGTTTCTGATACAGCACGTTAAGTCTTTTTACTTCAGTGGCATACTCCCTCATGATATTTTCTCACACTGGATTACTAAGTCTCTGATTCTTGTGTGTCTGAAATATATATTTTTAAATTTATTTTGGTATCATTATCTACAATTACATGAGTAACATTATGTTTACTGGACTCGCCCTATCAAGTCCCCTACTACATAACTCATTACAGTCAATGTTCATCAGTGTAGTAAGGTGCTATAAGAATCACTACTTGTCTTCTGTGTGTTATACAGCCCTCCCTGTGCACCCCCACCTACAATATGTCTGCTAATAGTAATGCCCCTTTTTTTCCCCTTATCCCTCCCTTCCCACCCATCCTCCCCAGTCCCTTTCCCTTTGGTAACTGTTAGTCCATTCTTGGGTTCTGTGAGTCTGCTGCTGTTTTATTCCTTCAGTTTTTTTCTTTGTTCTTATACTCCACATTAATCTGTGTCTTTTATCCATGAATTTATACCTGAAAACCACTACCTTCCATTTGCAAGTAAATTCAAATTTTAAGTAAATGAGTTAAATATAGTATGTTTGTATATCCATCCTCTTTGTTTTGGAAAAATCAAGTATGATGCCTGTTGAATAGAAATGATAAATTCAGGAACACTGCGTAGAACTTTTGATGGTTTTCGTTTAAGGAAAGAAACTACTTGAACCATTTGGTTCTTAGAGTCCTTTTCCTTCTCAAGAATTTAAAATGCTTTTAAGATGTTTCAGTCTCCCCTGGAAAGGAGAGACTTTGTCAGTTACTTCCACTTACACAGAGATTCAGGTCACTCTCAGATGTTAATAAGCAAAAGTAAATAAAGTTATAACGGCTGTTATTCACTAATTAGGTCCTGTCTTGAAACTCAAAAGTCTTTTGAACAGAAGGTCCAATCAACTGCACATAATATAGTACTTTTATTAAAGAAATAATGCCATTATATAAGTTAACTTCCTGAAATTTTTGTACCGTCTTTTGACTAACAACCAGCAATTTAAGGCAAAGAAAATAGGAATATCGATGCATGCCAAGATTCAGCTATACAGATGTTTGAAAACTGCTTTTGATGTTTTTTTAAAAATGAAAATAATCTGTGCATCAGTATAGCCCTGGTTAAATAATGGAACTGACAGAATATCATGAAGCTATTAAAAACAATGTTGCAGAAGAACAATATAGTAAGTGAAAAGCGTGGGTTATAAATCAGCACACAGTAAAGAAATAGACATTTATATATAAATGTTAATAATGGTTCTTTCTACAAAGAGCATTATAGGTGACTTTCAGTTTTCTTCTTCACATGTACCTGTGGGTTCTAAACCCCCTAAAAAATACATGAATTATAAAATAATTATATATACTTATATAATTACAAAATAATCAGGAAAAAACAATACTTTAGAAATCATTGGGAAAAAATAAGGTATTTCTAACATTGGATTACACAAAGAAGCTAAAAGAAAACTGATACCACCACTTCTCTTGAGCAAGGCTAATTCTTAAGAAGGGTAAGCTTCTAGAACATAGCCATTTTCAAAATAATAGTACATTCAAAACCAAGAGAGTAATTGTAGAATTTTTTTCATATTTTCAATTAATGTGCCTCTTCTCTTTCAACTTAGAAAAGAAGTGAAGGTCTGAAAACAATGCTTGAAAATGATGAACAATAAGAAAGCTGGTACCAAAATTCAAGTATTTTAACTACTTGATTTGTATCATGATAGTCAACAAATATATTATTAGGTTTTTGTCTCTTTTGCAATTAGCAATATTCAGTTTCAATACATAAATAAGGCATTTTTTAAATCGAAGTGTGTTTCCTATCACCAAAGTAGTTATAAAAATACTAGTGATAATTCTTCTAACTCAGGAACTTTGGCATTCATGTGAGATACACATTAAAGTACTTAGTAACCTTCTCCAATAGACCTTTGTAAACACAATTTGAGTTCTAACTACCAGATAACATGCTGGTATTAAAAGATGATTGAATGAACATATTAAATAGGAACAACAAACTGGACTTCAGCTATTATCTTGAAGTATTTTTTACACTTTACTTTCTAACAAAGAGATTTTAAACAGGATTTTAACAGATTTCTAACAGGATTTTAAACCTTGTATAACTAGAACTGTGTTGTGTTTTCTCCCTTTTAGTTGTGGTTGGATTATTAGTAGCATTACATGTCACTTTCAAAGGGTAGGCCCTAACATTTACACACCTAATATTATAAAGTTTAATACCTTCATCAAATCTTGTTCAATATAGACCTCTAATTCAGGATCAGTAGTGTTATTACTTCCTAGCAGTAAGTCAGATAACACCATACAAGCACACTGAAAGAGCTAAGTTTTTGAAACCTTGATTCATTACCAAATTAAATAATGGTAATGTTTAAAAGCATATACATGCTTTTTTTTTTTAATCTGCTAAAAGGAAAGGAACTGTATTTCTAAATTGACTAAATGTTTCAACTTTAAATCAGGACAAATTTCAAAAATCAAAATCTGCCAAAAGCCATATATTAAATAGTTTAGTTCCCAAATCTAAATAAATTGGTGCAAAATATCCTGAAACTATTCAGTACCATCTTCCCTAGTCTTGTTTAACTGCCACCATACACTGAGATACACATATTCTACATACATTATTTAATAGTAATATATCTTTAAGAGCGAGATGTTACTCCGCCCCATATTTCATTATCATCTTACCCCATTCTGTGCCATCCCCTGAACTCCTTGCTTCTCCAGCTCCTTCACCATCTTCAGCAGTCACTAAAAAGTCAAATTCTTTCAGTGCTTCTTCAGTATCAGGATCATCAGTAAGGTCAGCAGCTAAACCTTCATTACCTATCTGTAAATGGAACATAAAGGACTCCTTTAAGATTTAGGAGATTAATAATGCTCAGTTTAAGTTTTCACAAATTACCTTTACATTTGCACTGCCATTTTTAAATTACTTAGATAAAAATTTTGATTTTCCATCTAATTCACTGATCCCAAATTACACAGTACTATATGAAGACTTGTAAGAAGTGATGCAAATAATGTGGTAATAAGAATAAATTGCTGATCAAGAATAGTTAAGTTCTTTAATTGTAACAGAGTCACAGTTACCCCCTATTAGAGACCCATTTACTCACTCATATTCTGATACATTGTGCTAAATTGACTTCACTTACTGAGAAATGCATTTGTAGTCGGTAACTCATAGGGATATGAGCACAGCTAGTAAGACAGTAACTAATGTCAACAGCTGTGGTAATTATAATTGTGCTTTACCTCCCAGAAGGAAAAAAAAAGGAAGGATCAAAATCTCAATTCATCCATGTTACCCATGTAAGTATGTTACACATAGGAAATGAGGCAGGAAGAAGCTTTTGAGGAACACTAGTATTTTTCCCACATTACTATAGTATCACAAAGAACAACAACTGAACCTGTCCACTTTTTAATTTTTTTAAGTATGTGAAATATTGCACACTATGATTGATTTATAAATTAATCATCTAATATATTTTTGTTTTTACAGCTAACCCACATTATCACTAGAACAGATATACCTGTTTCTTAGGTTATGAGTAAAAGTAAGTTTTTATTAATTCTTAACAAACAATGAGAATGTTGATTATATACATTTACAGCCAGTTTACTGCCTCACCTAGTGTGGGAGTATCCCCACTGCAGCTTCAGTTAATTAATCACCTGTTTGTTATTAATAAAGAAACAGATTTCAGCAGTGATTCTTAACTGGCAGGTGTATTTTTTTAAGTTTCAAACCAGTGGATCAGTCCTATAAAAAGACTCTTTCTTAAAACAACAGAACAGACCCTTTCTTGTCATTTAGTGAATACTACAGCAATTAATAACTCCTATGTATGGGTAGCTCAGTAAGAACTGACTATATAATACTTACAAGTCACATAAAGAAATAAAAAATGATCTCTCTCAATTTAACTTAGGATATCTCCAAAATTTCTATTCCAATACATGAGTATATATATTTTAGCTAATAAGAATAAAAAATCAAGTTCCTACTTTGTGTTTATTCATCCGATGTTTGTCTTTTCCTTCTGGGATGCCTTCAATCATGTCGTTTTCCTCTTCTTCATCACTGTCATCAGCATTTTCTAAGAAATTGAATGTCTCCAGAACATCACCAGAGGACCTGTAAGAGAAAATAATAATAAATCCAAATATTCCAATGGTTAATCCTAATATTTATTTCTGGGTCCTATTTTGAAACAATACTTGAAGATAATACAGAGAGATTCAAATGATAAACCTACCATGTACTGCCTAAGTGTTTTACCCAAGAAAAGAATGTTTGAAAGAATTTATGTTCTACAATTAAAGTTGACTATTCTTTTAAGTTTCTCCATCCAGTGTCTGCTGTCCAAAATATTTTAATTAGTTACTGTATCAAAATAAAACCTCACAGCATTAGACACTCAAGCATGCTATTTCTCAAAATCAAGCCATCATAAGCAAGCAGCTTACACGTAGCATTTCTTACAGCTTTACAGCTACAGCTTGGCCCATGTATTTAACCTAAAACCAAAGTTTATTAGGCTGTCCAGACTTAAAGTTATGGTAAAATAGATACAGAAGATTCCAATCCATTTTACAGATTTTCTTACCTAGAAAATGGGGTCCTTAATACACTAACAAAATACTTTCAAGTCTTTCAGAACCACTCATTTAATAGATGATAGCAATAATCTTTTATCTACTTAAAAAGTTATTTTTTAAACTATAACTGAATTCCTCTTCTATATACAAAAATGTTTTCAATTAGTTGTTTACATGTCCAACAACACAGGTAGCAACAAAACAGTTGAAATTCCAGTTGAAAAGACTTTCACAATGTAAGTCTCTGTTCTTTCACTAACTAGATGCCTGAATTTGGACAAGTCACTTAAACCTTTTGGCCTCACTTTACCTGTACACTGTTCAGGCTGAACCAAATGACCTCTGGTAACAAAAATAACAATAATCTGAAGTTTAGGATTTTTTTTCTTCCCTGATTGGTTCTACCAGTCCAAATTGAGGACCTAATACAATTCAGATTATTTTTAATAGCATTTTAACATGGCACAGTGTTCTACAGGGTCCACTATACTCTGCCTAATCTAGTACATTGTTTAAAGACCTGTATAAAAACTGTGTGTAGAGACAGTGTTTCCAAACGCAAATCAGTAAAAAAATAAACAAAAAACTACCACAGTAACAAAATACACACATTTTGGTTTAATATTTATAATATAATATGTCAATGTTTGGGGATTAAATGAAAAGGAAATTATTTGATAAAATGGACACAAAAACAGAAAATACTTAAGACATGAGCATTTTGTTTTGAACTTTGTTTTCATAAATGAAGTATTGCTATTGCTTGGACAATACTGTATTTCTGTCTCTGAAATGAGAGTTCATGTTTTAGGTTTTTAAAATGCTATTTGCATATAGCAATATATGTGCATGGCTTTAAAAGTCAAACAGAGCAGAATCCATAAAAGAAAAGAACAGATGAATCAGACTTCCCTAAATTAAAAACATTTGCTCTTTGAAAGAAACTGGTAAGATAAAGAGAAGCCTACAGAATAGCAGAAAATATTTGCAAGTCACATATTTGATGAAGGACTTGTGTCCAAAACATATAAAGAACATTTAATGGAGATACTATTCAAATAGACATTATATCAAAAGATACGTGGATGGCATAGATTCTCAACATTATTAGTCCTTGGGAAAATGAAACTTACAGTGACCACTGACTGTGAGGAGTCTGAGACTTTACCCTACTTGTCTGCTTACATGTTGTTTCTTTTTAACATTCATGTTGATGTTCATGTGGATCTTTTAGAATTAATTTTATAGTGTAACTAGGGGGAATCCTTTTAATCTAGAAACATACTTAAAAATACACTCAGTAAATACATTCCAGAAAATTTTCTTACATTACTTACATATTTCTTATGTTAGTTTAATATTTTCAACACCATTTTACCTACTCTCTCTTTCTGAAACTCCTAGTCAGATTTTGATCCTCCTGGAACTGAGTTTTCCTCTTTTTCAGTCCTTTCTTTTTTTCTTTTCTCTTTTTTTTGAGAGAGGCCTTCAGCCTTATTTTCCAAGTTTTACATGGAAATTATTTCTATCATAGTTAATTTCTATTAGCTCTTTTTTTCTATCTCTACTGAACCTTTTAAAAATAAAATGTTTTGTTGATGTATTACCTTCTGTCAGTTCTTCCACAAGAGTATTACAGTTCAAAGTTTTCTGATCCCTGTTTTCTGAGTTTCTTTTGTTTGGTTCCTCTCATCTCCAATTTTCCGATTAAAGTCTTTCCTTAAATGTCCACATTTAGGAGTGAGGCACCAAAAAGGTAACAGGATTTTTGTATGCAGGGGTGCGGCTTGTCAAGCAGCTGTTTTCACTTTTGTATGATAGGACAGAGGCCCAGCCATATCACTGGTGGATACCAACTGTCAGTATCATTAGGTCTTTTCTACTAATGTCATCAATTTCAGCAACCTGCCTGAAAGTGATGTAAGACCAGCTGCCAACATCCCAGAAATCAAAGAGCAGAAAAAAATCGGATCTCACTGCTCAGCTGGAGATTTTCAGATAATCCTCCTATTATCAGTATAGTAACCTTCCCTATAGCTGCCTGATTTCTTAAGAAATCAGAAATCATTGATTCAACTTCACCATATAATATACCACCATTCTTCAGGATAGGGGAATGGTGTACAACTAGAAGGAAAGGATTTAAGATTCTGTCTCTTACATAAACTTTAAATCAGTTCTCTATTCATAGCCCCCTTTAAACCTGACCCTAAGGAATTAGAGGTACCTAATATCTCTAATCCCTTAACTTTTGGAGCTCTACTGGCATTTTGGGACTTGAATTAGCTTGTTCCTTTTCTTCTTCCTATTGCTCTTAAATATATTAAGACTTAAGCTCTGTTGACATTCCTCCACTTTCTTTCCAACTTCCAAAATTGTTAAATTCTTCCTATATGGTGGACAGTAAGTATATCCTATCATTCATTCTATATATTCAATGTTTTTGTCCTTATGTGTTAATTCACATTAAAAATTCTGTCATTTTTTAACACACATAATGTAGGGGTGTAGCAGGGAAGGCAGTACAGTACAAAGACAAGTAGTGACTCTATAGCATCTTACTATGCTGATGGACAGTGACTGCAATGGGGTGTAGGGGGGACTTGATAATATGGGTGAATGTTGTAACCACAATGTTGCTCGTATGAAACCTTCATAAGTTTGTACATCAATGATACCTTAACAAAAAAAGTCTTTGTCATTTTAAAAGAGGTTCCAGAAGGCACAGAAGTAAAATATGCCTTTAATCCACCATGCTGAAGTGGAAGTCTCCATCTATGTATTTTACCCTTTTTTTCTTTGCCAACTATTTATTATCCTCATCTAAAAAGGCAATCAACAGAATTTTTTAAATTAATATAGCCAGCTGAAGGGAAAATAAAATGAAGCTAAGGCTAAGGTTAGTAAGTAAAAGACTAGGAGTCAGTGCACTGATGGGGGCAAGAGGAGGGTACAGACATTTGGCAAGATTCCAAACAATAAAAATGAGAAAAGAGAGCAACTACTGGAAGTTCAAAAGTAAATCAGACCAGTTACTAAAAGCAGCACAGCTTTTCCCTGTTACAAGATCTAAGTAAATGCTCTCCCACAAAGAACCCTTATAAAGTGGATGCTTTGTGATGTGATACACCATGCACCCCCAACCTCCCCTAACACTAAACCAAGAAATACAACAGTGACATGCACTTAGCAGAATGTAGTGAATATTACGCTTGTGGAGGTTGCATTTCAAATGGATACACAGTATGTCACCACAGCTAACACTATGTGCCAGACATTGTTCTAAATGCTTTACATTAATTCATTTCTTCTTCACATCAGCCCTATCATAATTTTACAAATGAGGAAACTGAGGTACCAGAAGGTAAAGTACTTTGCCAGAAGTCACAGCTAAGAAGTGGTGAGGTCAGGATTCAAACCCAGTCAGTCTGTTTCAGAACTCACATTCTAAACCATTAAGCATACTGCCTCTTAATCTGAAATTTACCATTCCTCTACTGTTGAACATTAAGGCTATTTCTTATTTTTTACTATTAAAAATAAGAACACGTTTAACATCTTTTTGCTGAAGTATCTGTTATAACATGTTAGATTATTCTTCTTATTCCTAGGGGCTTTCAAAGGCCCTGATAATAGCTAAACCATACACACATGTATTACTGCAGACTCCAAATATATAAATATATCATTAAGAGGGAAATTAGTCTTGATTAAAAACAACTACTACTTAGAAGTCTACATACGGATAAATGGATAAAAAAAATACATGGTGTGTATATACATACACACATACACATACATACAAAAGAATATTATTCAGCCATAATAAAAAAGGAAATCATATCTTACAGTACAACAATGAACCTTCAGATAATCACTATGCTTCCTCAAATCCAGAGTATGAAGAACAAGGGCTTTATTAGATATCAAATTGTTTTTATTAAAGAGATGTTATTTCTCAGGAATAAAAACTCTAAACTGAAGATTTAGGTTAACCTTAAAGTTTTAAATAATTGCATAAAGTCATAAAATATATTCAAGGTAAGAAATAATGCTGGTTTACAAACTACATATTATTAATTTGTTAAGTGCTATATGAACTCAATGAACTCATCTGGGTTATTTCCATTTTCTTTTCTTTGTCATTCTAACCTGTTATTCAAGGTAATGTGTAGTGTAAAAAATAAAAAACTTCTACCTGCCTGGCTCGTTGCATTTATCAAGTTTGTATTAACCAAAAGTATATCTGATAGGCAGAAAACAAGTGTTGATGAGGATACAGAGAAACCAGAACTCTTAGAAACTTTTGGTGGGAATATAAAATAGTTCAGCCACTTTTGAAAAGAGTTTGGAAGTTCCTCAAAACAGTAAACACAGAATTCAAATAAGACTCAGCAGTTCCATTCCTAGGTATATACCCAAGAGGACCAAAAACATAAGCCCACACTTACAAACCAATGTTCAAAGTAACATTATTTATTCCAAATGTGGAATCAATGCACGTGCCCATCAAACAGACAAGGTATGGACAAACAAAATGTGGTATATCCATAAAACAGAGTACTATTTGGCAATAAAAAGGAATGAAATATTGACACATGTTGTAACATGGATGAACCTTAGAAATATTCTGCAAAGTGAAAAGAAGCCACTCACAAAATAACCATTTATGTGAAAGATCCACAATAAGTCCACAGACAAAGAAAGTAGATTAGTAGTTGCCTAAGGCTGGGGGTAGGAGGAATGTAGGGGAGAATGGGCTAATGGGAGCAAATGAGTACAGGGCTTTTTGGGGTAATTAAAAATTTCAAAACTTAGATTGTGGTGACTGTGTGAACAACTCTGGAAAGTACTGTAAAAAAACATTAAACTATATACTTTAAATGGGTGAAATGTGTGATATGTTAATTGTATCTCAATAAAGATATTATATTAAAAAGGTGTTATCTGTTAAGTTTCTGAACCCAACACAATGTAAAGCCTTGTTTCACATTAGTGTCTATAACCATTCCTGTTCTAGTTTGAGAGTAGCATTATAGTTTATTGAAAACACTCTAGCAAAAATTTAAAACTCAGGATGTTAAAATAGGTCTGAACTACATGAAATCACTCTCAAATTTTAGTTTTGCACTTGTTTCAGAATTATGGCCATTCTCATGGCAAAACTTTAGATTAAAAACCTCCTAAATAGAAATTTTATTTGTCCATGGTACCATTTAGGGAGGAAAAAACACCTTTAAATTTGAACTCTACCTGCTTTAAAAACTGTGAACAATAGTAACAAAAGAGATTAATAATACTCATTATATAAACAGTGTTATCCTACAATTACAGATCATACCTTTTAATTTCTTGTCCTTTTTGCTTAGGAGATTCACCTCCATTCAGGATCTGTTCTAAATTCTTTGTTTCTACTGATCCATTTGGTTCTGAATTGGATAGTCCAAGTAATGACCTTACCCGCTGAGACCGTACATCTAATATTGTATCTGTATAACCTACTTCCTGAAGATATCTATAAAAGAAAATTTTAAATATTAAATCTCACATACTGTTAACACCTACATACTTAAAAATCTTATCACAGGATTACAGAAACCTATAATCCTATAAAATATACTTTTCCTTTGCCTCAATAAGTTTCTTCTCGAAAGACTAGTTTCAGTTCTATGAGAACAAGGCTAACTATAAACTGAAAATTTAATTAAGAGAGCATAAAGTGTGACTAACACTAATTAAAAGCCAATTATCCTGAAACCTAAAAAGCCCTAGAAAAGCTTAAAATGCTTTTAGGAGTCAATGATATGCATTTAAAAAAACCCCAGAAAGTGGTAAAGAAAAGTAAAAATAGACCTCAAAACAGGGACATGCTATGTTTTAAACCTGGGTTCTTAGTGAGAGATTGAGGACAGGTTTATTCTCCTTCTAGGATCTAAGATTTCATGGCATTCCTATCATCCTGAGATCTTCAAACTTTCTGTATATCTAAACCAGGGTCCTTAATCTTAAGATCCAGGATGAGACAGGAAAAGAAAAAAGGGACCATATTATGACATACATGTAGATAATGGGTAATACATGGCTTTGTGTGACAAAGTAAAGAATTTCTTCCTCAAGTATTTGGTAAGCTAGGGAAGAGTGCTAACAAAGGAGCCTTATATACTGCTAACCAAAGAACAAAACATTTTTAGGTGAAAGCCACTGAAGACAGAGAAACTGGTTAGGACACAAACTCAGCAAGAAGTAAAACTGGAAAAGAAGAAAAAAGAGTGAGAAAAATAAGCAAGATACAAACTTAGCGACTTGGTGCACAAATAAATATAGCATAAGAAATGAAGAAGACATAGTATTTTGGAAATTCTCCAGGTTTCTAACTTGGATGGTTGGATGGTGGTTCTGTTCAATGAAACGAAGAATAAGGGGTTAGAATCCATTTTATAGGGTATCTATCAGATCATCATATGATGTCTATAAAAGTCACAATGTTTATTAGGCATAATGATAAGAAAGGTCAAAAGCCCAAAAGAGATTGGACTGGGTATATAAATCTGGGAGTCATTAAGTGTTTGGTGGATTTGAAGCCATGGATTTAAATGAAGTTACCCAGAGAGAAGGCATAAGAAAGCAAGCCTGGGGAGACAGACATTTAAAGAGCTAGAAGAATGAAGAGAAACTCAAAGAAAATTAAAATAAAATCCTTGAGAAATGAAGGAGAAAGGGTGATAGCAGAGAATGGTATCATGGAAGTAAGAAAAAAGAGTTTCAAAAAGGAATGAATAGTTAAAGGAATGAATGGCTGATGTCAAGCATTTCCAAAAGATAAGTATGAACCAAAAAGTCTTCTCAAATATGTTTGTGATAGTAGCCTCAGTGGAACATCAAAATGGAAAAGATTATAGACAGTTGAGAAATAACCAGGAAGTCTATAGAGAAAAACTACAGTGATAGGATTAGGCATTTATGACAGAAATACTATACAACTGATCTCACTACAGCAGTCATACTCCTAAAAACTACAATCCTCTTTTGCAGGGAACAACGCCCGCCACATTCTTAACCATGTTCTGAAGGAGCAACAAAGATCTTGCACAATCCAGATGAAAACAACTGACTTAGGCAGTTATTTGATCACGTCAAGCCAGTTCTAATCAACAGAAATTATTCTGACAAAAATAGGGGGCTCCCCTGCCATGTGAAGAAAGGATTTTCAGTAGAAAAGAATAAAAATGATATACAAAAGAGAGAACCATATGCTGGGTGTTGCCAGTTCCTGAGAAGTCCTCTGTGCTATTCCAGCTCACCTTCCTGACACTATTATTCTGCACTGCCCTCAATTCTGCTAGCTACCCCAGCATCCCTCCAAACAATAATCTGTTCTAAAACTTGTCCATTTTAGTCATTAGGAGTTCAGTTTGATAAATACCTCTGTGAATGGAACATCAGGAACTGAGGTGATGAATATGAGGTTTAAATACAGTTACAGAGAGGAAAGCAGTTAAAGGAGCTCTTACTTTACAGCTTTCATATTTTCAGTGAAGTAGAACCTGAGGTGCTCTAATGACAGTAAAAGAGAATGGGCTGAGATGTGGTCAAAGTTTAGAATATCCACTGAAGAGTAATGGGAGAGGAAGGTTAATGGGTTTTTGAGAAAGGCTTGGACAGGAAACTATGAATATATAATGGCATTCACATGATTCTGTGATTTTTCTCCAATAATTAATTAGAAATAGAAGCCACTGATAGTAAGACTTAACTAGGGCTAGGATCTGCAATAGCCTAGGTATAGTAAAATGACTGGTGATAGATAAGCAGTGGGCAGCAAGAAAGCTAAGGGTACTCACAAAAGGATGATGGATCATGGGGTCTAAGCTGGAACTAGAGAAATAAAAACAAAAAACCCACAATGACAAAATATAAAATACACTAACCATAGGCAGAGGAGCTATGGAGGAAAATGAAGTAGTCAAGGATCTAAAAATCAATATAAAGTCACACAGCAAGTAATACGGGAACTGGAATGAGAGGTGGAATATGAGACGGCTGTCAGATGATGGAATATTCTAGAGGTAGGATACTTCTAGGTAATTATAAGATCAAGGGTCTGATCATATATCACTATGTCACTGAGTGAAGGCAAAATGTCTAGAGTTGAGATGGTTGAACAATTAAAAATTAGCCTGGGTATCAGTACTACACAAGTACCAGAGTTTAAAAAATAATGAAGAAGAAGCAATAGATGAAACAATAACTAAGACTTGCCATAGAAGTACTTCTAAATTTGCAAAAGATTCAAACATCAAAAAGGTTCCTCAAAAATTCAAGTAAAATTAGAATTTGGCAAACCACCTCTAAGAAATTCCTTCCTAAACCAGTCACATTCCCACTTAAAACCAAATATGTGAACTTTGCAGCGATGGGAACAGATATGTCTACAAGTATGAACCCTACATGGTTTCTTCTGGCCTTCAAGTCATATAGTCTTTAGAGCATTCTACCCCACAAGAAAACAACATCATCCTGAAAAATGTTCAGAGCAACATTCAAAGTAAACAAACTTTAAAAAGACTCAAGTATCTAACAAAGCGAAAAGGCAGCAGTATGAAAACTATATACATTGTCGCACTATCATTAAATAATTTTCACTTGAAGTGACTGAATATAAGCACTTTCATACCTATTTCCTTAAAGAAAGCTGCAAATGAACCATTACTCACTGTCTTAATAGCTGTCTGCCTTGCTTCCACGTTAACTGGCTATTCTGAGGTGCTGTGGGAGCCTCTGTATCTTTGGTTTCTTCTAAAAATTGACCCAAAAAAGAAAAAAAAGAGTAAGTTTAAGTTTCATTATTTCAAATCTTGAAAATAGTATTCAAGTTCTCTTAGGGATTAATTCTCACAAAAACATACCTAAACATTTTATGAAAGAAAGAAGAAATTTAACTTTTATTGAGTATTTACTATGGGTCACTCACTCACTGTAAAGGCATTTATCCTGACAACCTAAAACATTTAGGTACTACCCTCCTTGTTTTAAAATCGGGAAAACCCAAGGGTACATTAACTATTCTAAGGATCCAAAAAATCAAAAGCCCAGGCTTTGAAATGGAATGTTTTTAAATTTAATTTCTTTAACTACTAGAATTATGCTGAGTTGAATGCTTTTGAAATTAAAAAGCTGTATTTAATATTTACATAAACCATTCAAAATCAACACTGCTATAAAACTACAGAGTAAATTAATTTTGAGTCTGTATCAGCAGCCTCTAAGTCTTTACCACAAGACTTCATATAGTCAATTTCATCTGCAGAACTGAAAATAAGCCAGAAAATAATTTTTACTATAGGTAAAAAATCCTATTTTATTCTCAGATAACAAAATACAAGCAGTAAAAAATGTTTACTAAATTGTATAGTTTCAAGTGAGTTAACTCTCAAGCAGTCTAACCAAGGGTGAAATTTAAAACTACTTATTGGCACTAATGATATTATATAACTATTTTCCTTTAAATTCCTTTTATAAAAATAAAGATAAAGCAAAAAGAGGGGCCCATAGACGTTCAACCCTCACAGTGAATGTTGGGAACTCTTAGAATGGCTCAGTCATGTTCCTAGACTGCTCTGAATCACATGAATACTTACTGGTAGTAAAGTTGACCCTTGTACAACACAGGTTTCCATTGTGCAAGTCCAATTATACATGGATTTTTTTCAATAAATATATTGGAAAATTTTTTGGAGATTTGGGACAATTTGCTAAAACAAGTTCTGGTTGTTCCACATCCTCATGAACATGACTTTTTCTCTTTTGCAGTTTAGCCATTCTGGTAGGTCTCTAAGTATGCATTGCTGTAAGTTGTATTTCCTCAACAACTACTAAAACTGAGCATCATGTCATATGCTTATTGACCATTTGGATATCCCCTTTTAAGAGGTGCCTTTTCAAATCCTTTGCTCATTTTTCTATTGTTATAGTTTTGTTTTCTTAAATATAGGGAAAAAGGAACTCTATATATTCGGATACAACCTTTTTACAGGGTTAGATCTAGGATTACATATATTGGTTTTGCTGAAATGGGGCATAACTATATGCAAATCCTGTACTTCAATCAAAACAGTATTTTGTATTTTTTTATACATCTCTGACTTGTTTTCAAGTATATAAAAAGCAATACTGACTCATATAATGCTTTTCTCCAAACTGTGATATAAACAATTCCATCCTATTCTGTTTGCATATTTTTGTCCATTGGTTTGTTTTCCATTAAACACCCTCATAGTTTTCCACATCAGTAAAAACAATCTACTTTTGTTACTATTATGTCTCCTATAAATAAAAATACTTGAATGTGTGTGGGCAGGAGAGAGATGGACCTGCTAATGATTTTGCTTAATAAATACAAACTGTTGTCCTGAGACCAGCTAGCCCATTCTGACTGCAGCTCTAGGAACAATGTGGCTACTAGCCTCTTCCTCAGTTACTATGGGGGCAGTCCTCCAGATCAAGAAAGTGACTGCTTATTTTCTGAATATTTTAGCTACATTAGAAAGAAAATGGGTCTAAGAAAAGCTCTGAATTCATCAGGTTTCTCTCTATGGTGAAGTCATTCTACTCCTTCTAACTACAATGAGATTACTATAGTAAATGTGACCCAACATATATAGACCTTCCACCTTTTTATCATTTTTTATTGCTTTTCCAAGGAGGAGACGATATATTGATCCCTAGCATCAGAGTGAGCCTTCATATCCACTGAAAAGCCAAATAAGAGGAAACTAATGACACTCCTATTTGGTGTTTTAGTTTTATATGTGACAACTCGAAGGTGAAATAAATGGTTGTCCTATTAAAACTGTTAAGTAGAGAAGACTAAAAAATAAATCAACAGCAAGTTGTATGTATGGAGTGTTTCTGCCAAATTCTAAATACTTAAGCTAAAAACCAATTAACTAAACTTTTTAATTTACTGTACCACCTAAAAAAAAAAATCCACATCTAAGTTTATTTTACTACCATTATGCTTGGACTTTATTTAAAGTATGGAAACAACTATGGGAGAAGAAGAAAAATTGTATATCCAAATAAAGAGACATTTTTCTTGCCTTATAGTAACCAGCATCCAAGAACAGCGTATAATTCAATTTGACTGCATTATCACAATGTTTATATAAATGTGTTCTCAATACACTCAAGAAATAAAAAACTGCTAATATTTCCAAATATTATATAAATCAAAATATTCCTTATGTATTAGACTTCCAGACTACTCAAATTGTAATCATATAGAACCCTAAAATTAACATTAAACTGTTGGCCCTTTCTGACATTCACGCCCTGCTTCCCTGCATAACCTTTCATCAGATACTGCCCGCATACTCACTACTTGTTTAAACAAGAGCAAGGACAACTGAAGATAACTTCTTTCTTTTATTTGGTTGCCTCTGTAGTTCCAAATTCAAATTTCCAATCTTTAGAACTAAACTGAGTTAATCACAGTCTCTCTATATAAAAAGAGCTTTTTAATAATGAAAAATTAAGTTTATAGAGGATGGGACAAGAAATACCTACTGGTATAGAAAGTTACTTCATTTCATTCCACCTCCAATTACTACCAAAAACAAGCCTACAGTTTTACATAGGTTTCAACACAAGGAAAATAGGACAAATATCCTTAGGATTGAGATGTAGATGAAACTACTTATTAGCTTATATTTATTTATTATTTTCCCCCAAACACTAGAAAGAATTATAATGGTCAACCATCTGCCTAACAATGCTATCAAAGTAAAATGAAAGTAAAGAGAACGTGTCTGTTACATAAAAATGCCCTTATACCAATTTTTCTTAAATTTGAGGGGTTGAAGGGGTGGGGGTGGGAGGTGTAACAGAAGAAGAAGAATCAAGTTTACCTGATTCAAAGGCTGGCATTTTCAAATCACCTTGGTTCAGTTCTGTGCCATATTTTAATTTATGATACTTTGCCCTGAAAATGTAATGATAAATTGTTGAATTTTTTTTCATTTTCTACACAATTAACTACTGGTATATATTTCTCAAATAACAAATAAAACATAATATAAAGGCTATTTTTGTAAACTTTACTGTAAAAGGGACCAAAAAAAGGTAAATTACCCAAATGGCATATACACCCAAAAAAAGATTCCCTGATCTTAGAAGAAAAAAAAAAAATCCCAAACTCTGATTCTATAGCAAAAAGATATTATTTCAATTTAAAGATTTTAATCCCTTTTTCTCTTCTTATATAAGAATCAAATCAAAATAATCTTCTTGTATTTTGGGCACAGTTTTGTTATCTTTCAAAGAGGTTTCAAATAAATACATTACAATAGTAGTATGAAAAACAATAATATTGTTGTACTTGATTCATGTAAGAAAATGAGGCACACATACCTTTCTTGTTTTAATGCATACTCTAACATCTTTATTCTTCTTACTAAATCCTTCTTCAAGTTTTCTTGACCTTTTCGTTCTCCTTGCAAAAATGCTATCCGAGCCTAAAAATATAAAAAGTTCATTTACTTTCATTTTTCTTAACTATACATAGGGAACTGAAAAACAATAGACTTCTACACTTTTATTCATGACAGCAAGATTTAAAATTTATAGCAGTACACCAAACTTTGTTATATAACACAATCACTGTAAAAATAAGAGTAACAACAAATTAGCTATTTGCTTATAATCTTGAGGTCTCTAATATCAATAATTTTTACATAATCTTTCACAGAAATTTTATACATAAAAATTGCACTTAAGTCCTAACATACAAGTCACAAAGAACTAAAAGATATTACATTCAAAGTAGGTATCTTTCCCAGAATGATATATTAGTTATTTAAAAAAACAGTAATATCACCTCAAAACCATTTCTTCCATGAAACACTTAAAAATTTATACTCTTTTCCATTCTACCCACCCTACTCTAAAATGTTTCAATTCTCAAAACAATAGCAGAGTACTGCAAATAGTTTAAGTTAAGCTACTGAATGCTCAATAACTTAATTACTTTCTGTTGTCATTTTTTTACTTTGAAGGGACTTTTTTTCTTCTTTTAAATTGCCTTACTTCCTGAGAAAGGCAATTCTCAATCTTTTTCTGGCCCTTCCCTTCATGACAGCCTCATTTATCCATGTCACACTAAAATGTAATGTTTAAAGACATTAACATCTGTTTTGGGACACTTGCCATTATACATAAATTTACAATAAAAAACTTTCACATGGGGGAGAATACTCTTGCTAAGATGACCCATAGGTATATTAGTTTTAGAGAAAACAAGACATAAAGTAAGCTAGACTATGATTAATTTAACTTTAAAAAAACTTCAGGAAACATGGGATCAGAACAAATGAATTCAACTGGATGATTTAATCATTAAGTTAGAATGTGTTCATCTCTATAATAGAAATACACTGCCAGCAGACCGCCTAAATCAAAATGATTAACAAAAACACATAAGTAATTAATACCTATTACCATCAAAACTATTGTTCTTTAAAAAAGGAACTATGATTTCATATGAAATCATCCACAACTCTGTTAACATCTGAGAAGTTATAGACAGCTGTGTAACACTTCTAAATATAAGTTCCAAAATAAAAATGAGGGTCTGGGAGAAACTGTAAATATTCAAAACTTAATTAGTCTAAGACCTAAAGACAAAAGTAACACATAAACTAGCTCAAGCTGTGGAGGCAAAGGTAAAATGTACTAATTTCATTATATAGCACAAAGAAATTCTGTGAAATTTTCTCCCATATTGGCTGTTTTGTTTTATTAAAAAAAAAAACATGGATCATATACTACAGAACCATTATGGGATCCCTGTTTCCAGATCTTCATAGGCATTCTATAATCAGCAGTGGAAAAAGATGAAAGAAGTTCATTGTATTCTGTTTAAGGAGTAATTTGTGATTTTCTGATTGAGATTCCTTTCTAGGAGTCATAATATCTGCTAAGGGATTAAAAAAAAAAAAGACTACAAAGTAATTATGCCTATTAGAATCTTACACCCTTGCAAGAATTTCCCTTCTTTGTCATTTCTGTATTAAAAACCATCCACACTTAGAGAATTTGGTAAAATTGAACAAGCACAAGCCACATAAAGGAAGCAAGACTCTCAAAGCAACTTCTGAACAAGAGTTCGTGAAGGGAGGTAATTTGCAAAAACACAGGACAAGGAAAAGGTGAAAATACATTAAAATGAAACACTTAAAAGATCCTGGTCTAAACAAAAATACCTGGAGAGGAGTAAAAAGCAGATGACAGGTAAGTCAAGACTAATGGAACTGACCTTATGACCTTGTATCACCAAATATCTAGCCAGATACTTTGAAAAGGTAAAGGTTAGTTATTTCTGATAGTGGTAGTAAAGATCAATTAAATAACAAACTTGGTATCTAATAAAGGATTACTAAAAGCAGATTTTTCAGCTATTTTTATAGGTAATGCACCATCTGTAAGAGCATCACTTATGCAAATACACTTTAAAAAGTAACCACAGGACAGGAGCCAAGACGGCGGCATGAGTAGGGCAGCGGAAATCTCCTCCCAAAACCATATATATTTTTTAAAATACAACTATTCCTAAAAGAGAGACCAGTGGATACAGTACAACAGCCAGGCTACATCTACATCTGTGAGAACTCAGCATCTCACGAAGGGGGTAAGATACAAGCCACGGCCCAACAGGACACGAACACTGCCCCCACCCCAGCCCACCGGTGGGAGGAGAGGAGTTGGAGCGGGGAGAGGGTGGGAGCCCAGGACTGCTAAATACCCAGCCATAGTCATCTGCACCGGGAGCACAGATACACAGTGCATGGTGTGCTGGATATGAATGAAATGGAACAGTAAAACCTGCAAATGGGTCCCCGCAGTTGGTGCTCCTGGGACAAAAGAAAAGCGAGTGCTTTTTGAAAATCTTAAAGGGACAGGGCCTCGCAGCTGGACGGAAGCGTCCTGGCACACACAGCCCAGCAAGTGGGAATCCCAGGGAACTCCAGGCGCCCTAACCCCCTGGGCAGCAGTGCAACTCTGAATACCCTCATGAGATAAGCAGCCTGCGAGCAGTTCCTCCGGCTAGAGCGCCCCCAACACAGCGGCCAAGTAGCTGGGGAGCGGCCGTGCACACATGAGGCGGCGGGGGAGCAGCACAGGAGCAGTGCGTGAGCCCACAGTGGCAGTCGAACAGCCCGGGAGCAGCCGCGCCCTCAGCAGCCACCCAGAATCTCCTCGCAGCACGCAGCTGCCTGGGCCAGACCAAAAAGCCATTGCAGGCATGCAGCTGCTCAGCGCAGGCAGAAGAAACCTGGGCAAAGCACAAAGGGGCACCACTCTTGCAGGAAAGCACACCCAGCATGCCTTCCACTCCTCGCAGGGCTCTGGGATACCCTGACGGCGACCCCGCCCATGGCAGCTTCAGGGATAATTGGGAGGCTGCTCCAGGAGTGCAGGTAACCGACACAGGCAGTGGAGAAGGGCAATGTGACGAGCAAGCAGGAAAGGAGTCTCTTCTCCCAGCTGACACATGTGCTACCAGCCTACAGCTACCTCTATCGCCATGAAAAGGCAGAAGAATTTGGTCCAGTCCAGAATTACTCAGACACGAGAGAGGGCCTGGGGAGATAGATTTAACCAATCTTCCTGAAAAAGAATTCAAAATAAAGGTCATAACCATGCTGATGGAGCTGCAGAGAAATATGCAAGAGCTAAAGGAGCAAGTAGGATGGGAGAATACAGAAGTAAAACAACCTCTGGAAGGACTTAAGAGCAGACTGGATGAGGTGCAAGAGGCCATTAATGGAACAGAAATCAGAACAGGAATAAATAGAAGCTTCATCAGAGAGAGATAAAAGGATCTCCAGGAATGAAGGAATACTAAGAGAACTGTGTGACCAATACAAATGGAACAATATTCTCATTTGTAGGAGTACCAGAAGAAGAAGAGAGAGAAAAAGGGATAGAAAGTGTCTTTGAAGAAATAATTGCTGAGAACTTCCCCAAACTGGGGGAGGAAATAGTCTCTCAGACCATGGAGGTCCACAGAACTCCCAACACAAGGGACCCAAGAAGGACAACACCAAGACACATAATAATTAAAATGACAAAGATCAAAGACAAGGACAGAGTATTAAAGGCAGCCAGAGACAGAAAAAAGGTCACCTACAAAGGAAAACCCATTAGGTTATCATCAGACTTCTCGACAGAAACCTTACAGGCCAGAAAAGAATGGCATGATATATTTAATGCAATGAAATAGAAGAGCCTTGAACCAAGAATACTGCATCCAGCACAATTATCATTTAAATATGAAGGAGGGATTAAACAATTTCCAGACAAACAAAAGTTGAGGGAATTTGCCTCCCACAAACCACCTCTACAGGATATTTTAAAGGGACTGCTCTAGATGGAAGTACTCCTAAAGCTAAATAGATGTCACCAGAGAAAATAAAATCACAGCTAAAGAAGCAGAACAGTACTAAATAAAGGCAAAAAATAAAATCAACTACTCACAAAAGCAGTCAAAGGAAACACAAAAGAGTACAGAATAAAACACCTACCATATAATGAATGGAGGAAAGAGGAATAAGAAGGGAGAGAAATAAAGAATCATCAGACTGTGTTTAAAATAGCTAAATAAGAGAGTTAAGTTAGATGGCTAGATAGTAAAGAAGCTACCCTTTAACCTTTGGTAACCATGAATCTAAAGCCTGCAAGGGCAATAAGTACATATCTCTCAATAACCACCCTAAATGTAAATGGACTGAATGCACCAATCAAAAGACACAGAGTAACAGAACGGATAAAAAAGCAAGACCCATCTATATGCAGCTTACAAGAGACTCACCTCAAACCCAAAGACATACACACACTAAAAGTCAAGGGATGGAAAAAGATATTTTATGCAAACAATAAGGAGAAAAAAGCAGGTGCTGCAGTACTAGTATCAGACAGAATAGACTTCAAAACAAAGAAAGTATCAAGAGATAAAGAAGGACATTACAAAATGATAAAGGGCTCAGTCCAACAAGAGGATATAACCATTCTAAATATATATGTACCCAACACAGGAGCACCGGCATATGTGAAACAAATACTAGCAGAACTAAAGGGGGAAATAGAATGCAATGCATTCATTCTAGGTAACTTCAACACACCACTCACTCCAAAGAACAGATCCACCAGACAGAAAATAAGTAAGGACACAGAGGCACTGAACAACACATTAGAATGAACAGATGGACCTAATAGACATCTACAGAACTCTACACCCAAAAGCAACAGGATACACATTCTTCTCAAGTGCACATGGAACATTTTCGAGAACAGACAACATACTAGGCCACAAAAAGAGCCTCAGTAAATTCCAAAAGATTGAAATTCTACCAACCAGCTTCTCAGACCACAAAGGTATAAAACTAGAAATAAATTGTACAAAGAAAGTAAAAAGGCTCACAAACACATGAAGGCTTAACAACATGCTCCTAAATAA